AGGAGCATTTTCTTTTCATATTAATCACATTTTTTTCCACTTTTTAAAAATTATTCATTCAGTTGCACCTTGTTGAGTATTTTTGATCATTTTTGACACACTCATAAATGCTAATTTTCAGCTAATCGCAGTGTTGTAAGACTGCTTGTATATCTCTCTCAGAAAAATTGTGAAAACAGCTAGACTGTAAGACAAAAAGTTGCATATTCAGGAATTGACTATGGTTTGTGATTTAGCCCTTTTTTCTCCCTTTTGGGTGAAAACAGCTAAAAGTACAAACTCCCTCATTAGACATGTTATATTGCTATCACATATCACTCTTGTCACTGTCAAACGCGAATAAGGTGTTAATCATTCTGTTCATGAATTAAGGAGCTTTACTACAGCAATGGGAAAGGCTTTATAGAATACCGTCTCAAGACAATTCGAGTCAGCCTTGGTAACCACAGAGCCAGTTCGTCAGTGGAGCAGAAAGATCCTGTCAGGAAGAAGCCAAAAATGCAGCAGAGCAGTGGCATTAACCCAACAACTGAAGTGCTAGAGCAGGTGGGATAATAGAGTTTTAGTAGCATATGACAGAAGCAACACTAGCTGCAGCATCAACAGCTGAAGAAAAGAATGGAACACTTTGAAACACTGCTGGCAGCAGACATATATTGGTCCTTGTTGACAGTCTTGGGCATGCTCAGAACTGCGTGCCTGCTAAGAACTAGCTAGTAAAAGGGAACGGTTGGTTTGCTGCCACCATTAGTGTTTCAAAATCTTCGCATGTTGGGTCTTTCTTTCATAGTCTTCCATGTCAACATTACATCAGTATCCAGGGAAACTGCAATTTAGTACTTAATATCTTAAAATTTTCTCAATGAAGCATGTGAATTGGAAATTGTATCACATTTGTATAACTGCAGTAACAGCTGCAAGTATACCCAGTAAAGATCGAGTTTAAGGAGCTATAGGCAGTGCGCAGAATACAAAATAAATTAGACACACTGGTAACTCCATGCATGGATTGACAAATCAGAACTGAGGATTCAATTTGGCTTGAACATGATAGGCATTGTATGCAAATTATATTTATGCTGCTTTACAATGAACTTGTATTTCCAGATGGAGTGGCTGAAGTACCATCCACCAACCAGGGAAAATATGAGCACCATCATCAAATACCTGAAGGAGACCTTTGCTTACCGTAGAGCACTGATAGACCAAGACAGCCCATCAATAACCAGCATCATCAACACCATCCCCAGATTCAGGGACACACCTGAGCTAGTGAGTATTGCATGCAATAGCATAACTTATGGTTAAAATGTGGTTTTAAAAGTAGGTGCAAGGGAGTGCAAAAAAGAAATGTTTCTTGAGCTTTGAGGGTGAATTCACCCAAATTGCAAAAATTTGCCAGTCAAGAAACATTTTGAGGCATGTAGGTAAATCGTTATTGCTTGTGACTTATGAACATGGCCCATGGAAAATTTGAATCAAACTGGAGGCTACTTGTGACCTTGAGGAAGTTACTTCCCTCCAAGCTTTTTAAATGAAGGCATCATGGAAAATCAGAAGGTTTAAGAATTGTTAAAAATTTCAACAAAATTTTAAAAAAGTGTGCACGGTTATCTTCAATGACCCCAACTTGACAAGNTTGTGTTAAGTGGAAGACGTGAGAGTCAGTCAACAAAAAAAGACTCTTCATGCACATGGTTCATAAATGCAACTGGAAACAAGTTTTCATGCAGTCCAAAGCCTACTATGCAATTTGTTACATTCTGTGTGATGTTTCAGATCAACACTGAGTTTGAACTGCTTCATCATGGAAGTGGGAGCAACCTGCTCATCAAATGGCGACCTTACTACGCACCAAAGCTCTTAAAGTTGATGTCTGGGTGTGGAGATGATAAATTTGCAAGTACATAAAAATAAATTCTTCCTAATGCAAATTAAGATAAAGAGCTTTCTTTTTAAGTTGGGGTTGGGTACTGTTCCAAAGTTGGGGGGAGGTTTAAACCTCTAGGGTGTCACATTCCGGGTGTCACATTCCTGTCAATGTAAATTATCATAATAATGTATGAAAACTGTGTTTTTGTTAATGGGGACACATGGATGTTGGCATGAAAATTAAATTACATATGTTCAAAGTAATGATTCTAAAATGGCCGCAAAGAATTTCTTTAAAATTTTTTATCAGCATTTGCCCTTTTTTGGGGGGGGGGTATGGTAGAGGCACACTGCAGCCATTTGTATGGGAGGAGGGGTAGGATGCACATGCCTCCCGAGTCCCCGTTGCAGCTGCTCCCCATTTAAAAATTTGCACTGCACTATTTAAAAGAGCTTTTTAACTAATTTGCAGTTGATGCCTTCTTAAAACATGTTTTCCCCTGGAGAAGCCCCCAGCCACCCCTTTGACTTATAGTCCTATGCCACTAATTGTCACTTGAAAAGAATTTCTAATAAACTGTTACCAAATGTAATGTGCTAATTTTTGACATAACACTTCAACAGATGACCTCGAGATACTAAAGTTGCTAATGGAGCAGTTCCCGATGGTGTCAACAGGGGGCAAAAAGGGAAAGCTCTGTCATCATTTCTTGTGCAGCATGCCCCCGTAGGTTGTTTGTTCAAGATTATTTGTTATAGTTGCCATAGGGCTATCAAGATGTGAATGGGAGAGATTTCCTTGTGGACAGGCGATCATCACGAGCAGAACCATGTACATGTATATGCAAGCAGTTTCTGCTTTAGAACTGTCCAAAGAACTAATGCAGTGTCAAAGAGAATTAATATATCTGAAAAGAATTTTAGTCAGCAAGTGTTACAGTCTTGCTTTGTTAATATTTTATAATTCTCCAAAACATTAGCATTTTAAAAAAGAAAAACCTTTGACACAAAAGATTTCATTACAACCCATTTCATGTAGTATCTCTGATGTGTTTGTTTAAAAACTCCTTATATGTTACAGGTTGGGACAGGTGTTGATACATATGCTCAGCAGGAGGAGAGCGTATATAGCCAGCCATTCATCCTTGCACTTGGGGATATCAGAAACCCAACTGAGTTCTTCATTGTGGTCGACAATCTTACCATTCCAGGGAGATCTTCTGCGTTGGAGGCATTCGACCGCCTTTTCAAGGTTCATTATGTTTTCGCTGTCCATTTTGCAAAGCCACTTCAATCATTCTTCAATTTTTTTGAAGGAATAGTCTACAAACTAGATGTGGCTATCAAGCCGAGTGTTAGGGAATTGTATTCCAAGATGGTGAGGGTAGAAGTTGAGTCCTAGACTAGAGGTGGAAATGAAGCTTGAATCAATTTCAGGTATGTACATGTATGGTATATCAAAAACAATCAAACGTTACCAGTTTTAATAATTTCTAAAGATATTACTGCATTAATTGGGGAGATGTTTATTGAATTTTAAATTTTTGCCCTTTCCTGTGTATACCTCAACATTGGATACTCAGTGTTTCCCTGATAGCTTACAAAACTCCAAATGTAGGGTGGAAGTTGAACCCACAATCTCCTGTTTACTAGTACAGATGTATCTATCATTCAACCACTGAGCTTGCGGTTGCCACAGTACCTGTTGGCTACAATTTAACTAGTAAGCAGGAGGTCATGGGTACAACTCCCACTTAAGCACTCAAGCTTTCTTTTTAGCCAAAGGGAAACACCGAGCCTAATTTGCTGTGTTGAAGTTTAGATGGGAAAGGGCAATAATCTAAAATTTAAGATTGTTTTAATTCATTGTTCATGAATATATTATCAGACAGTGTTTTTATTCAACTTGATCAAAAACTTTCACATGAAGGAATAGTGCACAAATTTAATGTTGCAATCAAGCTGGAACAATACTCCTAGGTGGTAAGGGGAGAATTGTGGATTCCTAGAAATGTAAATGCAGCTTGAATCCATTTAAAGTACATGTATATCAAGAACAATCAAACGTTACTGGTTTTTATTATTTCTAAAGATGTAACAGCATTAATTGGGGAGATGTTTATTGAATTTTTAATTTTTGCCATTTTCTGTGTATACCTCAACATTGGATACTCAGTGTTTCCCTGATAGCTTACAAAACTCCAAATGTAGGGTGGAA